GGCGACAGATTTTGTTTGATTTTTTTTACACATAATTGACATTAGTATCCTGGAACAGGGTTCTGGGCTACCAATGTTACATGTGCTGTGGGCAACTGCCTGTCTGTTGAGTCTCCACTGAGCTAACCAAACCAGGAACTAACAAGGCAAGTTCTCTGGTTGACAGCCAGGGGGTGTAACCAGGTTAATTTGTAAAAGTGTCAATTTCTATTGAAATCTACACTTTTTGGAAAATGAAAAAAAAAAAGAGTATAAACATTTTATACATAAAGCACCTGAGCAAGATAAATTGTGCTTTAGGTGTCTGGAGTGTCCCTGTAATAGATGTTCTACAGATCGCATATGAATCATACATACTCAGAATAAAATTTAAATTTTTTATTTTAAACCATGCTTGGCACAATGCAGATTTCATAAACTGAAAGCCAAAACAAGGTAATCTGGCAAATCTAATTACAATAACTGTTCCCCTTTATAAATTTGGCTGTCTGAGATGCAGTTTGTCTAGCTTAACTAGGGAATGTAGTTAACAGCTGCAGTGCCGGAGGATAAACATTATTACATTGTGTGATCTCATAATTAATTTTTTAGTTCTTTTTATTCTCAAAACTTGGCAACACTGATCTGTTCAGGCTGGCACCATGTGTGTTGTGTAGGTGTCTGATTTTAAATGCTAGTAATCCACTATTTGTCTAGAGCACTTGACCTGAGGGTATTTATTGTTAATCCAAAAAAACTACCTGTATCAAATTTCTGTGATATAATACGTGCACATGTGTTTATAAGCGCTGTATATCTCTCAGGGACATTAACCCTTTAAAAAACTTTCAAGCACACAGACTTATAGGTTAGTGTTTGGTTAGACAAAAATAAGATGATAATGCTAAATCTTTAAAAAAAAATTATAAGATATGCAATGCTTATTGAAATGGCTACTCTATATTAATACTGATGCAAAAAAATCTACTTTTATACATAGGAGTAAAAATGTGTATTACTGAACCTTTAGTGTTTAAAATCCATCCAACACTAAACCCTCCTTACCACCCTTAAAAAGAAAGAAAACGTACCTTTCTTCCAGCGCCATTGGGGTCCAGTGGCTCTGGCTCTGCCCCCATCGCTAAGTCATCCATAAATAAACATTGGGAGGCTAACGCTGCATTGCACCAATGAGCATCTCCTTATATTGATGCATTAAATCAATGCATCTATATAAGGAATGTTCAAGGTCTCCATGCAGATGCGGAACGTCAGTACACTGTGCAACACTCACCCAGGCAGCACCTCTAGTGGCCGTCTGAGTGACTGCTACTAGGAAGCACTGAAAAGACAGTGTATACAGGAAAATGCCTGCAGGAACAAACTACACACACCAGAACAACTACATTAAGTTGCAGTTGTTCTGGTGACTATAGTGTTCCTTTATTCTGCACATGATAAGATAATAAGAGAAAGTGTGTGTTTGTGCGTTTTCCACTGCACTACCTCTCAATGACTTTACATCTTGCCTACCTCTACCTTCAGAGTATACCGGTAAAGCACAGATCAGAATGTGCCTGGAAATCTAATGGGTTCTAATATGAAAGTACATGCACAGCTTATGTAATTCTACAAGTTATTTGTTTACAATAACCTGAAAGTATCTTCCAGAATGGTACAATACATGACAAGTTGATCAAATTCTAGTTGTTATTTAACTTAGAATGAATGGATCAAATAGAATGGCGCTACAGACATTTATTGGCTGATTGTTTGCGTACCACTTACTGAATAATTATTTTAATAGAAATGACAAGCACCTGTATAACAACACATAAAAAAAAACAGTAAAGGCAGTGATTCATTAATGTGTGTGCTAATTAGTCATTTAGTAGTATGTGTATGAATAGACTTGTAAAGTACTATTATGTAACTATTTCTCACATGTGGGACCTATTTACAAACCAATGATTTTTGATTTTGTTAAAGTTCTTTCTATGAAAACTAAATTCTTGATAAAGTACTTAAAAGCAAAACACTTTAAGTGGTGGCATATTGCTGGGTTTTATGTGACTGATTTGCAGGTTATCCTTTTTCAACTTTCCATAATGTAATTTTAATATAATCTTGAATAAAGGCTACATTTTGTATAGATTGGGATTATGAGTGTATTATGTGAGGCACCATATGTTTGTTATTGTTAATGAAATAGCCAGGAACTATTATACATTGCTGAAAAGAGACATGCGTCCATCAAGTTCCATCTTTCTTGCATTTGCTGTTGATTGAAAAGAAGGTGGGAACAAAAAACGTATGAGGCGCTTCAATTTTGCAGAAACTAGGAAAAAATTCCCTCTTGACCTCAGAATGGCAGTCAGATATCTGCTTGGATCAAGAAGCTATTACCCCACTAGTTAAAAATAATATCCCTGAATATTAGGTTTTTCTTTTCTTCAGGCAGAGAATTACACAACCTTGTTTTTTTTACTGTAAAAACAAATCTATTCTTTGCCTTAGACTAACTCATTTCTTCCAGTCTAAACGTGTGACCTTGTGTCCAATGTATAGTCCTGTTTACGAATAGTTTTCCAGATAATAACACAAAATAGAGAAATAAAGTAAACAGATTGCAGGTCAGGAGTCCGGGTACAAGTCAAGGGCTCGTGAGCTGCACCACTGTAACCACCTAATAGAGAGCTCCAATAAGGGGGTAACCCTCCAAAATATGCAGGAAATAGGAGAAAGTGATGTATAGAATCCCACAAGGGGAAATATCCATTTTTATCCTTAGATTGATTAAAGGTAGGGCCCCCTTCCTCATTTCTTATACCAGTGGAGCTCTCCCGATGTTAGTTTCCCCTTTTTCAGATAATAGTTTGTATTGGCCAGTATATATTTGTAAAATTATATTAGTATTTTTCACCTGTCCAAGCTCTTCATTAAGATCTGACGTATTCACTAGAGGACCTTCTCCTGTGCTCTCATCAAACATTTCCTCGTCCCAAGTGAGGAAATAGGAACCCAGGAATTTCTGCATTTCCACTGTTACATACATAGACACTGGGATAATGTAGTTGAAGAGGACCATGAAAGCCAGAAAGTCTGTAAATGCTCTGATAAACTGAAATTGTACAAAATTAGATATTTCATTAGAGAAGATAACATAATAATAGAACAAGGAACATTAAAAAAAATTCTGGGGCTATATGTAAAAATAAATTCTGGGGCATATTTGAAAACAGTCTCTGCCATTTTCCTAGTGGTTGCTCAAATTATTTTTTAATATCTTTATTTTTGCCATGACATACAACTGTGATACATAAGCGATATAATGGCTTGTGCAACAGCCAAACTGGTTTCATATAGCAATGGTACATTGATACAGAGAAAGGATAAGTTTACATGTTAGGCTATGCATGTTGAATTATGCGTGTAATTTGCCTGTTTGCATTCTGTCATGTTTTTTTGTATTAGTTTTGCAAAGAAATAACAAGATAACTTGTCATTCAAACCATAAATTAGAGTAACAATGGGTATAACTTTGTAAGTCAGAGGTCCTCAAGCTCCGGCCCCCCAGATGTTGCTGAACTACAACTCCCATGATTCTTTGAATTACATAGATAGCCAGAGAATCATGGGAGTTGTGGTTCAGCAACATCTGGGGGGCCGGAGTTTGAGGACCCCTTTTGTAAGTTATTAGCGTACAATATATCCCTGCTCCGTCGCTTTGTTTTAAATTGCTGTGTGCGGTATCTCTTTTTTGATTCATTCGTAGTCAACCCACCAGCATCTGTGGGCGGTGAGCCAAGCTATTGATGTCCATATCAAGCAGTGGTTTGGTGCTATTGGAGCATCACCGCTTTGTTAACAAAGGGTTTTTCAGAAAACTCCACTCAACACCGGTGGGAAAATGTCTTACCCCTGCAGTTGGGTCCGAAGTCCCCCTGGCGCTGTTTTGGCGCTTGATTCCTATATGTCCTGCCAATCAGTACCCTCCAATTCCTCTTCTAGGTCGGCTTCCCATAAGTCAGTGTACCTTACTTGTCCCCCCTCCTCTGCTTTTGTGCAGAGATGCTGGCATAAAAGTGTGATCAACTTGGTTTTTGAGGTTTCTTCAAAACATAGCTTTTCAAAGAAAGTCATTGGTGTCTTCGCGGCCAATCTGACCTCTTTGGTGCTAGCAAAGTCCCTAACCTGGATGTAGCGGAAGTAATCTCATGTTGTTAACGGTGCTAATGTTTGTAGGTGTTCATATGTGACATAGAGGTGTATAAATCATTGCAGTCCTGTATGTTCCAGTCCCCTAAAGTCTTTTGCTCTCATTCCTGGAGGGAATTGTCTGTTTCTGAGTAACATTGGCATTGGCGATAGGGAGCCCCCTAATGCGTATTTTGGTGCAGTCTTGTCCCATTTTTGGAGTGAGTTTAAAATAGCTGGACAGGTAGTCCGTAGAAAAGCTTTATGTTGTTTGGGAACCCAAATGTAGAATTGGGGGATGTCTGCCCCTGTGATCAATTACTCTATTTCTACCCATTGTCTTTTATCTGGGGGGGAATGCCAGTGGACAATTTGGGTTAATTGCGCCACTATGTAGTACTGGTGTAGGTTGAGTAGGCCCAACCCACCCCTGTTTTTGGGGATGTATAATAGGCTGCGGGATAGTCTTGGGTGTTTTTTCAGCCAGATAAATGTGTCAGTGGCTTTTTGTATGTTGGTGAGTAGTGATGTCCCAACGGTTCACCGCGGTTTGCCACGAACGGTTTGCCGCGGACTCCAGTCAGCAGACACATTCCAGCCAATCAGCAGCAGACCCTCCCTCCCAGACCCTTCCACCTCCTGGACCGCTCACTAAGAATGCAGCTTCAAAATGGATGCTGTCCAGGAGGTAGGAGGGTCTGAGAGGGAGGGTCTGCTGCTGATTGGCTGGAATGTGTCTGCTGACTGGAGTCCGTGGCGTACCGTTTGCGAACCGTTCGGGACATCACTGTTGGCCTCATCACTATTGACCTCACAGTCAGCAGGCACATTCCAGCCAATCAGCAGCAGACCCTCCCTCCCAGATCCTCCCACCTCCTGGACAGCATCCATTGTGAAGCTGCATTCTTAGTGAGCTGTCCAGGAGGTGGGAGGGTCTGGGAGGGAGGGTCTGCTGCTGATTGGCTGGAATGTGTCTGCTGACTGTGAGGTATAGGGGCAAAGTTTACTCAATGATGAGTCCGGGGCGAACCGTTCGTGTCGAACCGGGGCGAACCGTTCGCGAACCGTTCGGCGAACAGTTCGGGACATCACTATTGGTGAGGTCTCAACAATCTGGGCATGACATTCTTTTTTATGATGTGTAATCGGCCTAGCCACAAGATGGGTTTCTCCATCCACTTTTCTAGATCCTCTGTAATTGTGCAGAACATTGGCATGTAATTCTGGTGGTACAGCTGGGTAGGGCCTGCTGTGAGTTGAATTCCTAAGTACGTGAAGGACTCTGTTGTGATTTTGATGTGAAATGTTCAACATATATGCTGTGTTTCAGAGTCTGCTAGATGGAAAGGTATGGGCACCGACTTGGTCAGGATGACTTTATACCCTGAGATATTACCGTATTTCTCTAGGAGCGGGGATAACATAGCCATGGATTGCATTGGGTTGGTGAGAGTGAGTAGTACGTCATCGGCATATATCTTAAAGTGCCTGTGTACTGTCTCAACTCCCTGTATTTGTTGGTCAGTCCTGATTGCGTGTAACAATGACTCCAGTGTGCCCACTAAAAAAGAAGTGGGGATAGTGGACAGCCTTGTCGTGTACCGTTGGTGAGGGAGAAAGGGGTTGGTGAGGGAGAAAGGGGTTCCAGGAGCCCCTGTGATAACTGTTTGTGCTCTCAGATCCGTGTATAGGGCTCTAGTTGCGGTTATGAAAGGTGCTGGGAATTTCAAGTATTGTAGTAGTCTGAATAAAAATGTCCATTGCAATCGGTCAAATGCCTTTTCTGCATCTAAGGATAGTGCCAGAGAAGGCATTGTGGAGTCTGTCATGTATCATACCAGGTCTGCCCCTCACCGGGTATTCTCGTACAACTGTCTGCCCAGCATGTAGCCTACCTGATCTGCATGGATCAGCCTTGGTAGCAGTGGTGTAAGTCTGAGCACCAGTATTTTAGCAAAGATTTTGAGGTCAGAGTTTATCAGTGAGACCGGTCTGTAGTTAGATGCTAGTGTGGCAAGAGGATAATATTTGTTGTGGCCATGTCACTGTCTGGTGTGTCCCCCTGCATAAAGTGGTTGCATAAGTTTGCTATATGCGGGACTAGTTCCTCTCAGAACTGCTTAGAGTAGCTCACGTCATACCCATCGGGAACTGGTGCCTTGTTGCCTTTAAGTGCTGAAGTAGCCAGGTCAACTTCCTCATGTGTGATAGGTGCCTGTAGGGCCTCTGCCTCTTCCCCTGTCAGTTTCTGCATACCCATTCCTGAGAGAAATTAGTCTATCTGTGTCGTGTACCCTGCATTGGTCACAGTGTGCTGTGTGGAGTGATTGTATAATGCTGTGAAGTAGTTTGTGAGACCTCGTTTATTGCTTTTGGTGTGGTTGCAATCTCCTGAGTCGTGTCTCTGATCTTAGTTATCGGTTTACTCTCCTATCTAGGCCAAATAAACCTAGTCAGCAAAGTCTTGTTAGCCTTCTCGTAGTATAGTCGTTTGGACCATATTATAGATCGAGCCACGTCTTCTACTGCTAGTTAGTTGATGGAGTGTCTCAGTGCTGTAAGTTCTGTCAGTTTTGTGTTGGTAGGGTTAGTTTTGTGCTATTGTTCCAGTTTCCTGAGATGTGATTGCAATTCTAGTAATAGTTTAGTTTTGTGCTGGTTTTTTTGTAGGTGGCGGCTTTATCAAAGTGGCCCCTGGGGACCGCCTTGTGGGCCACCTATAGTGCCATCGGGTTTATCTCCCCATCCGCATTGAAGGCGATGTAGTCCGTGATGGCTACCTTCGTGGATGCGACTAGAGTTTCGTCTTTGAGTAGGCTGGTGTTCAATCTGCAGTTCCAATTGGAACTGTATTTCATCTTGTGTATAGTGACAGCTATGTCGGCGTGGTCTGACCATGTCATGGTGTTAATTTCTGTGTTTAGGACCTTAGTCATTCCTGCCTTGTTGAGTAGGAGATTGTCTCTGCTTGAGTATGTGTCGTGGGGTGTGGAGTAAAAGTATAGTCCCTTGTGTCAGGGTGTTGTAGTCTCCACGCATCTTACAGTCCAGTATGGTTTAGGAAGATATGCATAAGTTTGTCCCGACCCCCTCTCCCTTGTGATCGGAGCGACCCAAGCTTTAAACTTCTATCTATTGCCAGGCATGGTACTGCATTGAAATCCCCACCCACTAGCTTATGCGTTAATGATGTGTGTTTTTGTGCTGTGGATTGTTCCTGTGAGTGCTATATATTGTCTCTCGGGGTCCTCCTTACTATGGATGACCACCATGGGGCACCACTTATTAACCAGGATGGCTACTCCTGCCTTTTTCCTTAAGGCTCTTGCCTTGTGTGCAGTCCTTAACCCCCTTTTCCGTTAGCCTAACCGTTGCTGACCTGGGGAGGTGTGTCTCTTGGATAAGAGAAATATGCTTTTTTTGTCTTAAGCTCTCTTAGGAGAAGTGTTTTGCCCCTTAACGTTTAAGGAGACTATTTTTAGGGCCATAGTGTGACGCGGTGATCATCTGCTGGTCAGTGTGCTAGTGTACAAGTGGAGGTCAGGTCTTGGTGTCTGTCAGGTCTGTATGAGAGTCTGTATGAGAGTGAAGAAGGTGTGCTTCCGGGTTCTTTTGCCCTGTGTCTCCCACAATGTCGCTGAAGAAAGGAGCGTTAATGAGTAGTAGAATTATAACAATAAACAACTAAATAAAGTATATACCAAAAAGACAACTTTGATGGTCTGGTCTTACTTGTTGCCAGAGCAACCAGGGATGTGCGCCCGCCCCGTAGGGTGTGCAAGTGGTACCCTGTCAGGAAAGTGCTGCTTGCAGAAAAAAACATACCGTTGCTAAATAGTATGAGGCCAGATAATTGACAATCTGACTGTAGGTACCTAAAGATGGCAGTCAGAAATCGGAAGAAGGAAAGGTAGGCAAGAGACTTTTTCAAAAAATGAAAATATAGTTCACGTTACATGCTGTTCCCATAGTTAAAAGAGAACTGTCACTTCCCAGGATCTCAGGGCCGCCATCAGGGCATGACAATCATGACGGTTGTCATCGGACCCAGGGCCCATACTGCTCTGGGAGTTCCGGGCCCCTACATTGTACACATATATATAGCGATTTCCTGGCAGTAATGGCAGGCCCCCGGCTACCTGTTTGTTGCAGAGGGGCAACCCCAGCACACTCTCATTACCCTTCCAAGCAGCTCCCCTGTCTAAATCTTGCGCGCCCTGTGGCCGTCAGAGCATTGCCATGGTAACCCGCGTGGCACGCAGGCCATTAAAGAGTTAGAGACAGGAGCTGCTGGGAAGGGAAGTGAGAGTGTGCTGTGGGCCCCCTCTGCAGAGCCCAGCGGGTGGCACAGAGCACCAAGCCACCGAACCACCAGGGAATGTGATCTTACCCCTCCCCGGCCAGGTAAGAAGCAGGGAGGGGGGAGTAAAATAAAATGTAAAAAAATTTAAAAATTTATTTATTTTTTTTACATTAGAATACCCCCCCATTTTACACACATTACACATCTACACAAGCACACAACACATCCACTATATACAAACACTACATGCACTACACAAACACACACTCCACATTCACTATACACACTGCATGTAATACACACAAACAGCCTTCACTATACACACTCTGCATTCACTATACACACATACTACATCCACTACAAAAACACACACTCTGCCTTCACGACACAAGCACACTGCGCATTCACTACACAAGCACACTCTGCATTCACTACACAAACACACACTACATCCACTACACAAACACACACTCTGCATTAACTACACACACACTGCATCCACTACACAAATACACACTCTGCACTTACTATACTCACACACACTACATCCACTGCACAAACACACTCTGCATGCACTATACACACCTTATCTAATACACACAATCACTACATCCACTACACAAACACACACACTACATCCACTACCCAAACACACACTCTGCATTAACTACAAACACTGCATCCACTATACAAACACACACTCTGCACTCACTACACACACTACATCTAATACACACAAACACTGCATCCACTACACAAACACACACTCTGCATTCACTATACACACCGCATCTAATACACACAAACACTACATGCACTACACAAACATACACACACACACTCTGCATTCACTATACACACACACTACATCCACTGCACAAACACACTCTGCATGCACTATACACACCGTATCGAATACACACAAACACTACATCCATTACACAAACACACACACTACATCCACTACACAAACACACACTCTGCATCTAATATACACCTCATACATTACACTAATGTACAATCTGCATCCACTATACACACTGCATCCATTACACACACACCGTATTCACATTCTATATCCACTATACACACACCACAACCAGTACACACACCGCATCCCTGTGAGCGGATTCAGGGGCGGCCCTCTGGGTGGACTCAGGGCAGCCTTGTGGACAGACTCCGGGGCAGGCCCCGGAGGCCCAGACCTTGAGCTGTGGCAGGCAAAATTTCTGATGGCAGCCCTGCAGGATCTCGTACGGGGTCATTATGCTATCATTATGGAACTGTGAACAACGTGTCACTCCATTAAAAAGTGAATTAGAAACTTCATGGAAGCTGACTTCACTAGGAGATATATTATTTTAATCTATACATTTGCTGACTAATTATGAATGAAAGATCAATAATAAAAGGTAAAACAAATCTGTACACACACTTTTTTTTCTTCAGTTGGTTTAGATCTGAAGCACATAAATCTTACCAGGTTTCTCTGTCTTTCAGAGTCAGTTTTTTGGTTGTACCAAGGCTCATCACGTGAATATTCGCTCTGCCAAACATACTTCAACACAGTGTCTATTAAAGCTTTGCTGATCAGAATACAGAGGTACACAATAAGGTATGCATTCATTGACCTAGGGGATAAATTAAAAGTTTCTGTCAACACTATATTCATT